ACCCTTGAGTACTGCATTCTGCCTGGCTCCCTTGGAGCCACTTAGGACTAGAAAAGCTGATGACCTCTGCTTCAGTGTTTCCTCATTCATCAGTGGAATTATTGGTGTTTAGAACAATAGATAGCATTGGTGGCATCACCTGTTCTATATTTGTTTTCCCTCAGATAACAGCAGGTGCAGCATATTACAGCCAATGTACACATAACATCTATTTAGCATCTGCAAATCAGGTAATCAGGTATTATCCCAGTTCCTTTCTAGCTTTCTTAATGGCCCACATTTAGCAGTCTTGGTTTAGAAATACAGTATTTTGTTCAGTTGGCTCTCCATTTTGAAGAGAGATGAGATGAAATTCAATTCAGCAAAGATGGAGAACTTATGATGGTGGGCTGAATTTTGGGGGTGGGGAGTTCAGGAAACAACTGAGATTCATCACCCAAGCTCCTGGAATTCACATCTAATGGAGAAGGCAACTTTAGGCAATGCTTCCCAGTGGAATGATTATCAAAGGGGAGACCAAGAGAAACTTGAGAATCTGTAACAAAGGGATTTAATTCAGGATGAAGGATCAGTGAAAGCAGTTCTGAGGAGGAGAGACTTGAAATATAATCATCCATACAGAGTGCAGTGATTTTTTTTTCCAGTGGAGATGGAAGCAACTCTGTTAGAATGCTCCCATTTCCATAAATAGCACCATCATTCAGCCACGTCCAAAAGTCAGAAACCCAGGAGATTTTGTGTGGTAGACTTGATTTGGTGCCCCCAATGGACCACACCTAATATTCATGGCCTTGTGTAAACCCCTTTCTGATCTGGACTGGCTTTTGATCTTTAACTAAGAGAATGTGGCAAAACTAGCAGCTTCCATTTTTACACTTAGGGGAAACCAGCTGCCATGTAAATCCCACCACCCGAGACCACTAAGTTAACCACGTGGAGAAGCCATGCAGAGGAGAACCAAACGACTGAGCTGGCAGCAAGAACTGAACCCAGACACATAATCTGAGCCAAGCTGATTATTCCACCCCGGGTGATGATCACAGAAGAAATGAGCTGCCTCGCCACGCCTGGTTCAAGCGGCAGAATCATGAGCAAATAATTCAGTGGTTGCTGTTTTAAGCCATTGCATTTTGTGGTAGTTTGTAGCAAAAGACAACTAAAACACCTCGGCTCCCTTTTCCCAATATCTTCTCCAATGTTAAATTCTATCAGTTTTACCTCCAGGATATCCTAAATCCATCTACTTTCTTCATCTCCTCTGACACCATCTGACTCCCGAACTACCATCCACTTTCTCTGACAAAAGCCACTGCAGCTTGCCTAACTTGTCTCCATGTATCTACTCAAGGCCCTCTCTGATCTGTACACCTTGTTGCAACCAGAGAGATCTTTTCAAAGCATAAATTATAGAATGTCACCCTATTGGTTAAAATATTTCAGTACCTTTCTTTTGCCCCCAGAATAAAAGTCAGCAAAGTCTTTAGCATGGCCTAATGCTTCACAAGGCTTTACCAAGTTTCTGGCCTCTACCCCTGCCTGCCCTGTACATCTTTTTCTTTTCTGCCATGCTAGCTTTTTAGTTACTACACTCAGCCAACCCCTTTGACTGAGGGACTTTTTTTCTTTTTTCTGAGAGACTTTGTACATACTGTTTCCTCTTTCTGGGACCTTTTGCCACTCACCAGCCCCTACCCTCTTTGCTAAGTGTTTCCTGGTTATTTTAATAGGTTTCAGCTCAAACATCACTTCCTTACAGCCTTCCCTGACACCCCAGACTGGGCTAAATCTCCTTTTAAATTACTCTAATTCCTCTCTTTCTTACACCTGTCATAGCTCTAATGCTATTTATTTGAATAATGATTTAAATTGGGATTTATTCAGGTGTTTATTTATTATGTCTTCCCCATTAGATTGAGTTCCAGTCTGGTTTTATCTGAGCTGAAGCTTGAAGGAAATGACATGCCACCTGTCAGGACTTCCTCTGGAAGCTCAAATTCTTTGAAATTATTCCCATCAAAAGGTAGGATGTGTCCTCTCTGCCTGAATCTGGACTCTGTAGTTCCTTGACCAAGGCCTTAAGAAACTGGCATTTTCCATTTCATCACTTTGGTTGCTTTCTTTTGAACCTAATCACCATGCTATGAGGAAGCCCAAGCAGCCCATGGAGAGGAACCAAGAATCTTGGTTCTCAGTCTCAGATGAGCTCCCAGTGACAGCACCAACTTGCTAGTTTGGTGAGTGAGCCATCTTGGAAGTGGAACTTCTATCCCCTCCCCTCA